GCCCAGACTCTGGCGGCGTTAATGGGCGCACTTGTGAATTTATGGGCATGGCCTGCGGTAAAGATAAGGATGAACTTGCCTACGACTACGACTATTTCATAGTTAGCAGCTTGAGCTTCCGCTAAGCATGTGACTTCCTGCTGTGGAATGAGAGCATGGGTATAGGTTTAGGTATACGTATAGGTGTGTTACCTGGCCTCGCACGTGGCATCCCTGCCGGCGATTTTATGGCTTTCACACCTCACTTACATATTTACTATACAAATTACACTTTTTATTGCATGTGATTTGGGTTCGTTCCTGCTGGCAGAGGAAGAGGGTATATTGGATTCGGGAAGCAGGGTTATAAAAATAAATTTAAGCAAGGTTCTGAGGGTTTCTATTGTATAAAAAACTAAAGAAGTCATAATTTAAAAATAAAAAAAAAATGTTAAACCACTTTCTTTTTAGTTCTTAAGGCTTCTTTCCAAGCTATATCTATTTTTGTTTGTTCTAAAAATTATATAAAAAATCTTAAAATAAATAAAACCCTTACAGATTATCCCTCAGTCGATCCCTGGCATCTTATCCTTTATTTCCTCTTTACTTTCCTTAGCTGGCACGTGGCAAAAGGGTTGCACGTTTTCATTGAAAATTAATGGTTTATTTATATGATGTGTTGAAGCATCGATGCAGTGGTATTATTTCTCCAATGTTGGAAGTTTAGCAATTCTTTTACCGTGTTGCGTGTGCCACAAATTGGGGCAGGAATTATGTGCTTGATTTTGGAGTTTTATGACTGTTTCCCATACTTTTCCGAAACTGTCTTTGTTAGCGGTTAATCGTACATTTCCATAACTATGCGCAAATTGCAGGGGAACACGAACGCCAAGGTAATTTTATGATTAGTCTACGTCTCCGTTCCCCCCGAGTTGCATGTTGCGTGTTTATGCTAATTTGCACTGCTGTTGCACTCGGTTATGCTGAGTGTTTTTATTTTCTGTTTCGGTTTGGTTAAATATGTATGACATGCAAATGGCGGCGACCTGACTTCAATTAACTTTGATCGATTTAACAAAATGGTTAGCATTTTCAGCTCAATTAATTTGCTTTGTTTTTTTGTGCTGCTGTTTAATTGCATGCGTTTTCGTTCAGTTTGTCTAATGTTTATAATTAAATAAAGGTTCTATCATAATGTATTATTAAGGCAAAATACATTAAAGTATTTGTGGAATTATTTATAAATTATTCAAGCTTAGAGTCGAATTTTCACAATGCATTTGCTAGGACTTTGCTGGAATGTTAAGCTGCATTTTTTTGAAATAATAATTGTTGGTTGCAGATTAAACTATCACATTAAAGAGTGCTAAACAAAAATTTAAAAAATATATTTACTTTGATTTTTAGTCTGCCAACTTCTTTGGAGTATTATTTTCAGCAACAAAATGTTGCCATCGTTTTGCTCATCATTTATTTCCGGGTTTATTTTTCATGAGTTACTTTAAAAAAAAAAATCAGCTTTTGACTTTAGTTATCCGCAGGAGTTTTGCATAATTTCAAAATGTATAAAATAATTCCTGGTAAAGTTTCAGTTATTTTGGTTTTCCTGCTGATGGCGTTAGTTAGAGAAATTGTTATATATTCTCAGGCCACATGCATATGCAGATTCCACAAAAAAATGAAATTAAAATAAATGACAAAAAACAAAAGAAGCAAAAGGAGTATTTATTTATTTGAATTTTGTGCGGGAAATGTTGCCTGCTGCTTTATGTTTGTCATTAGGCAAATAGTTTGCGGGCTCTGGCTCTGTGAAATACGAGCATTTCGCAGCGTGTGTCCTGTGTGAGTGCGGAAAACGAAGTACGAATATACAAACAATTATGGGTAAAATCAGGGAATGTGTCAGCCAGAGATTTATTTGCATATATTCTCAAACACACACAGATAGAGAGAGCATTCAATGTTGGGTTACAATGTGGTTGTGGCTGCCAAAATGGCAGCATAATTTCGTGTGGCTGCTAAATTTAATGGGTTCATTAGAGGAGTGTTGCCTACTTTTCGGCGCCGCTGGCTGCTAAAAATTAATGCAAAACGTGAGTTTGTTTTTAGCGCCCAGAGTCTACGTCTACGAGAGGATTTTTCTTGGTATTTATATATATTTTCTTGGTCCATCAGAGCTGACAATTTGTCCGTTTCCCGGAAGGTTTAGTTAAGTGTTTCAATGGTTTTAGTTACCTGAAAATGTAATGGAAATATTTTTAAAAGGTGAAAAAAGTTTAGAAAATGTTAAGCAGGATTAGCAATTAATATTTTTTTATTATAACAATTTTTAATAATTTATTTGGTATAAAAATGTATTTTTTTTGTGGGTTTTAAAGATTAAAAAGATATTTAAAACGTGAATATCGCTCAAATTCTTTATTTAAATATTTAAATAAATAAAAATAATCTATCAATATCTTTTGTAAACTTTTTTTTGCCATAATCGATACATAAATTCCACATTAATAACAATAGTTAATAAAAATAGCTAGTTTAGAATATGTTAAGCAGGATTAGCAATTAATATTTTTTTATTATAACAATTTTTAATAATTTATTTGGTATAAAAATGTATTTTTTTTTGTGGGTTTTAAAGATTAAAAAGATATTTAAAACGTGAATATCGCTCAAATTCTTTATTTAAATATTTATATAAATAAAAATAATCTATCAATATCTTTTGTAAACTTTTTTTTTGCCATAATCGATACATAAATTCCACATTAATAACAATAGTTAATAAAAATAGCTCCCGAAAAAACCCACCAAACGCAGTCTAAAAATAAAATTTCCCCCTAAAAAAGTTTCCCTGCTATTTATATTTCTTTTCCCTTTTTTTTAATGCTCGATCTTTGCTGTTTTTTTAAATGGGTTGCTGGCAGCACTGCCGCTCATTATTCTTGTTGCTGCTTTCTTGTTGCCCAGGAAAATTGTGCTACTGTTATTATAATACTTTTATGCTGTCGTTTACCCTCGCTGATGCTCCTGATGCTGCTGATGCTGCTGCTGCTGCTCCTGGTGGTGTTGACTTAGTCGAGAGCAATTAACATGCAAATAAGGCCTATTAGTTACCCAAACGTCAGCCTGTCAGCTGCTGTGTCTCCCACAACAGCCACGCCCCGTCGCACCTTTTGGTGGGGTCTTTAAGGAGCAAAGGACTGACTGCTGCTGGCTGCCAGCTCCTTTTTTGCCTGGATGGACGCTCACTTTAATGACTTACTAATTTCAAGTTTGCCGCTCGCTGCTCGCCGGGCGTAGTATCGTTAAAAATCTTAATTGGCAATTTAGCAGGGAACCGAGAATGCACAGGGCACAGGGAAGATCGTAATGCTCATCGTTGGGTTTAGTGTTATGCTTTTTGAAGGAGGGGCAAGGGACGACCGTGAAAACTTTTGATTTCCAAAGGGTCAATCCTTTGTCTTTAATCTAATCACCTAGGACTAGAACGACCCGACGTTTTTATGAAGTTTCCTGCCCTGCATTCGGCAATTAATGTTAATTGATCACTTAATTTCGAGCGTTTTCCATTAAAACTTTTCCTCGGTTCAGAGGGGGGCCAAAAGTTAAAGCCAGAGAGTATGATTTGGTTTTGGGCGAAATTGTGCGCCCGCCTTGATTTACATTCCAGGAGAATCCGAGTCCGAGACCGAGAACGAGTCCTGTGCCCATCACACATTCGCACCGTGTGCCGCAGCCATGCAAGTTGAATTAACATGAAAAAATATTGACCCACACACACACACATACACCCAGCAAACACACGGGCGCGAAAGGTCCTGCTGCAATTTATAGCTGCAGTGTCCTGGTCAGTGTGGGAAAATGTTTGAGCACACACTCACACACAGGCGTACACAGGAGCCCACCAATGCAATCGTGGGCGGCTACACTGCAAGAAATTAAATTTAGAGAGGTAAAGGGTAATTTTATAGCCTTCGAAGAGCAGAAAAAGAATTGATTTTTATCACTAGAAAAATAATAACTAATAGGGTCTTTACAAGAGATAAATATAATTTAAAAAGGAATCTTTAATTAAATGAATGTACGTTTAAAAATACTTTTTTAAATTCATATTTAAATGTAATACTTTGGAGTTTCCCCACACTATTTTTTCCCTGTGCACATGTGTCTGGCGGGGATTTACCCATCGCAGGACCGGCCAACGCACACACAATGAAGGTGTGTGCTGACAACGAATGCTGTGGGTGATGATCCAGGTTGATTTATCTACTGGCGCCGAGGTTAAAAGTTTTGCGCATACTTCCATTGTTTAGGTCAGTGTCTCCCTTTGTGTGGCTGCCACAGTGGCAGGACCTTCTCTCTCTCTCTCTTTTCATACAGGACACCCTACTACTTCGACAGCAGGCTGGCAGACAGGAGGTTATGCAAATGTCAGCCCCTTGCAATTATTCAACCTTTGGCCGGACTACAGAGAGAGAGAGAGTTCTTTACTGATTTTTGCCTTACCAATAACGTTTATTTAATCCATGATTATTTTATTGGTTTAGCTGAGAGCTCACAGGACATCGTCCAAAGGACAGCCAGGCAGCTCATTACGGAAGCCCCGCTGCCAGATCCTGACTAATTATGGAGCCTAGCAGCTCGTTATGTATGCGGGTTTTTTGCCAAAAGCCTAAACCAACTACGCCCTACTTTGGCCTGAGTCTTGCGTCCTACATCCTTCGACCCACGCTACTCCAGGGGCTCAAGGCCATGCCCGGAGTATCGGCAATATTTTGCTGACGTCTCTCCGAAATCCATCATTTTCCCCAGCCGTCTGCGACACGTGGTCTCCGCAGCTGGCTAATAAATCTTAATCAGTCCGGTTTTCGGTCTCCAGGCTCTCGAGCTCAGAGCTCCGGGTGGCTGCGGTCTCCGCCTAATTTGCGGTTCTCCTCCTCGCCATTGGAGGCGATGGCTTATCAACTTATCAACCCACGGCCCCCATTGATTGGCCCGCCGTCGAGCATAATCGCAAAAGCTTTTCAATGCTGATAAGTTTATTTATTTCAAGGCCTAGAGCTTAAACTACTGTCCTCTCTCTCTCTGAGAAGAGGACAGGGACGTGCTTCTGTTGCTTCCATCGCGTCTAGAACAGGTCTCCCAGCTCGTTCAGGAGATGTTTGAACCAGTCACCGGTGGCAGTGGTCGTCCTGACGGGAACGGTGGTGTAGTTCCAGGGACCCTCCGTGGTGCTGTTGTAGATGGGTCTTTGAGTGGAGTTCGTGGGCCCCCAGGGATTGTAGGTAGTGTTTCCAGTCGAAGGTGCTGCGGTGGAGTTCGTGGGCCACCAGGGATTGAAGGTCGTGTTTCCAGTCGACGGTGCTGCGGTGGAGTTCGTAGGCCACCAGGGATTGAAAGTACTGTTTCCAGTCCAGGGTACATCAGTGTTGTTGGTGGGAACCCACGGATTGTAAGTAGTGGTTGATCCCCATTGTCCATCAGTGCTGTTCGTAGGATACCAGGTGGTGTTGCAGGGCGGGAACGGAGTGGTGGTGCCAATTGTGGTAAAGTTGGGAGTGGTGTTTGTATTGGGCCATTGGGTGGAGTTCCATCCGGGTTGACCGGTGGTGGTGTTATTGGGCCACCAGGTTGTATTTCCATTCCAAGGTAAATCAGTGTTGTTGGTGGGAACCCACGGATTGTAGGTGGTGTTTCCTCCCGAAGGTCCTTGAGTAGAATTGGTTGGATACCAAGGATATGTAGTATTTTCCCAAGGTCCTTGAGTAGAGTTGGTAGGATTCCAAGGACTAGCAGTAGTGTTTGATCCCCATTGTCCATCAGTGGTGTTCGTAGGATACCAAGGATAGGTAGTGTTTCCCCAAGGTGCCTGTGTTGAGTTGGTAGGATTCCAAGGACTAGCTGTAGTGTTTCCTCCCGAAGGTCCTTGAGTAGAATTGGTTGGATACCAAGGATAGGTAGTGTTTCCCCAAGGTGCCTGTGTAGAGTTGGTAGGATTCCAAGGATAGGTAGTATTTCCTTCCCAAGGGGAAGGAGTGGTGGTGGCAATGGTGGTAAAATTAGGAGTGGTGTTCGTATTGGGCCAGTGGGTGGAGTTCCATCCCGGCTGGCCGGTGGTGGTGTTCTGGGGAGGCAGCACTGTGCTGTTCGAAGGATAGGTAGGACCTTCCCAAGGGGAAGGAGTGGTGGTGTCAATGGTGGTGTTCTGTGGAGGCAGCACAGTGCTGTTCTGGGGGGGCTGTTGGACCAGGCAGTTGGCCAGCTCATTGGTAGCTTCGTTTAGCTTGATCACAGCCTTGGTGAATTCACGAATGACACAGGCCTTGCGGCGACGGTAATCCTGGCGAGCAACATGCACATTGTCCCGGCTGAACAGGTTGAGAACCTGGAAGAGAGAGCAGACTCAGCTATAGATCCCCTCGAGAGAAGCTATTCCAAGCTAAGAACTTACCGCATCGGCATAACAGGAGTAGGTATCGCTCTCCGAATCCAGGACAGCGCAACCAATCATCTCGGCCTCGAAAAGCTCCCTCTGACCATCATTGTGTCCCTCGATGGCTCGCTCGTTCACTTTGTTGCAACGCTGAATCTTGTAGCCAGCCGTTATGAGGATCTCAATGTTGTCCACCGTGTAGAGAGCAGCACAGTCCTGCACGAGGTCATCGGGTTGAGACTCCTGCAGGCGTCCCGTGACGGCATCGAATAACAGGGACTGAAAGATGTCCGCCTTGGAGGTCTTGAATGGTTCAACTGCCGCGAACGCCTGAAGTATGAAAGAGTGGGGATTGCATAAAGTGTTTTAGCTTTTCTTAAAAGCATTTCCGGTCTCACCTGGGCGCTGACGAGCAGCGAGCACACCGCTAATATTTTGCAAAGAACCTTCATCTCCAAGGTTCGAGTCGCTTCTGAGCTGGAACCTCTGGCAGGTGACCATTTTAAGGCGGCGCGCATTTGATTTTTAATATATTATTTTTATTCTGGTTTCCTTAATTGCATTTATCTATAATTGTTCGGAGCCCGGCAGACACAATCAGGCAGGGCAGGTGATAAGTCTTAAGCATTCTAATTGATGATAAGGCGCCAAGTGGTAGCAGTGCCGTCACCATGATAAGAGCCATCGAATATGAATATCTGTATGAAGACGGAACTGGGTGTGAAGTGGCAGAAAGCCCGGGCCGCCGGGTGACACATCGTGGGACTTGGGAAACTCCACTGATTTATGTTAGGTGCTTAAAGGGCTATTTCGCGATAGGCCATTAAAAACATGGGAAAATTTTGGCTAGATTTCCCAGAAAAAAAAGTACAAAAAATGTAATAAATAAAGATTAAATAAATTGATAACTTTTAAGTGTGTTGTTACTGTTCAATTTCTTGTCCAGATCTGTAGATTTCCCAGAAAAAAAAGAAAATTACAAACCCTTGAACTTCTTTCTTATTTTTGATACATAAATACTAATTTTTGTTGAATGAAAACCTTTTTTTTATTAATTTTGCATTTTTAAAGCTTAGTTAGCCAGAGACATATCCTCCAACTCCTGGGTGTGCTTCTCTGGAACCTGCTCCTTGTGAATCTGGGCAGGCTGGAAGGGCTGAGGCTGCTGCTGCTGCTCAACCAACTCCCTCTGAGCTGGAACCTTGGCCAGACAGCTGTCAAAGTCATTGGCAATTTGAATAGACTGAACCTTGGCCTCGCTGACGGCAGCACTGATGCAGTTGGTCCTGGCGGCGCTGACCTGAGTCTCATTGGAGTTGAACTGAGTCTGAGTGGTGTAGGCCTGCGAGTTGGAGGTGTCCAGCAGCTGCAGGTTCTTGTCAAACTATCAGGGAACAAGTAACATTAAGTTATCAATTTTATAATCAAGTTAAAATAATAATATACACTCACAGTGGACACGGTGCAGTTGAGGAATCTGGCGGAGTCGGTCTCGTTGCGGCACAGCTGCAGGTTCTGCTCGAGGGTCAGAAGCTGGGCACGGATCTGGTTGACGGTGGAGTTGCTGCTCTGGACATAGGCCACCTTGGTACGGTTGGCTGACTCCTCACAGGCATTGGTGGAATTGGCCAGAGTGTCGCCGGTCTTCTGGGTGGCATTCAGGTAGTTGTTGGCACAGGTCTGGGCGGCAGGTGTCAGGACCCGGGGCTCCAGCTCACCACCCAAGACCATGCGGAAGAGGGCGCTCTCAAGGCCGGAACGAGGCACAGCAGAGACCTGGGAAAAGGATTTTAAGGAGGGTTCTTAGGAGAATTTTTAGGGGAATTTTTGGGATAATTTTTAATGTATTTTCTTCTAAGAAATGGCTATAAAATATGTTATTAAATATTCTAGACCATATCAACTCGTTTGCTTCTATTTTTAGTTGACTTTTCTAATCTGCCATTGTACTTTGTAAGCTTCACTATCATTTTTGATATTTATACTGATGGCTGGTCAAGTTGATTGCTTATATATCTATACTATAACCGAAGATAGCATTAGACACGCGCCCAAGAAATTGATTTATCAGAGTACACGTGTCCCTCTTTACTCAGTGATCAGGTGATAGTTTTTTATACTTTTTAAGAGAGGCTTTTTATATAAATAAACTCACGCTGAACAGGGTCACGCCCAGCAGGATAACTTGTGTGTAGAGCTTCATTTTCGCTTTGAAAATTATCAAACTTCAATTACTGCCTACAGAGAGTCTGCAGTTGCTTTTATACCTCTTCTCTATATGAAGATCTTCCTCTGAAACTATAATTAACCAAGTTACCTCCACTAATTGGCAATGCACTGGAGATAAGATAGAGAACCAAACAAGAAGACACGACAAATGTTCATCTAATTGGCTTTCTGCAGGGCTAAAACTCATCTCCAAAAAAACGGGACTGAGAGAGATAAGCAGTTGCCAGGTTCAGACCCACTCCAATCAGAGGGTTCCATGTCGCTGGATTGATAACACCTCTAGGGTCTGTGGGGTCTTGCAGTCTGCTGGCTTTATCTGGAATATATAATAATACTGTGATATAAGACCACAAATTTTTTGGGGCCTTGCTGAATCACGCAATCTCAAGCTCTGAGAGCCACTTGATTCCAATCTAACGATTACATGGCTATAAATCAAAGAGCTAAGAGCTCTTGGATTTTGCGTATTCCAAGAACTCCTGACCGGTTCCCAGAACCACTAACTGATTGCCCGAAAGCCTGATAACTATTTTCGCTTTGGCTAAGGTCACTGAAAGTAAAAACCCAATTTCCATGAATTCAGTTATCTTAACTTTGGGCCGCATTTGTGTATCGATCTAACAGCGCTATCGACAATTGAAAGTAAACAAAAAACAAAAAACAAAAAACAAAAAACAAAAGTTTGCTGCCTCTTAATGAATAAATTGACTGTCATCTAATTAGCCTTTCATGCTCTGGAGTCGTGCCTAGCCTGAAAATAGCTATGTACGAGTACATTTCTTACCTCAATTGGGAGTCCTCTTCCTTGAGAGTTTGGGGTGGAGCCAAAAGGCTTCTTTTGGCAGTTGTGTATTTATCAAAAACACACACACACACTCTCTTGCCACTCTGGGGCTCTCAAGGAGACAAAAGCCGAGGCAGTCCCGTGTCCGGACTCCACGTGTGCCGGCTCACATACATCTTGCGATAGACCAAACAAGATTTATAAGCTGAGACATTGTTCCAGGCACCTTCCTTGGAAAAGTCGTCGCAACTCGAACGATTTATCAAAAGCATAAACTGCAGGCGGAACGGGAAAGGTGGCTCAAGGACAACTTTTGGTGGTGATGCACGGGAAATAAAATAAGGTTTCATCTAGGAAAGGGTATGTTTTTCAACTTTTTAATATAAAAAAAATTATTTTAGGTTTTAAACTTATTAAATATTTATATATTTACTTATTTGAGTCTGAATTTGTACTTTCTATTAAATAATTCTTTTTCTGCGATAACAAAGCATGAATGAATACACTTTTCCTAGAATTTCTATACCATCAATTAGCTGTGGTAATTCACAAATATTTATTTGCTAACGAAAAATCAATCAATCTGAAAGTAAGCTCTATGAGAGGTGACATAATTGTAGATAAACTTAAGACTTCTTGGAAAAATAAACAAAAAGACAAACACTTCCTAGACAATTTGTTTTTTCTGTACCAAAATGGTTTCCTTTTATACTAAGTTTACATTTCTTACAGTGCTTTGACTGCCAGGCGCATCTGGTCGCCCCGGAACTTCCCAGGAGCCAGATTTAACGGGGCGACAAGTGCTAATTTGAATGTGGGCAGCCGTTTTATTTGTCCTGACAGTCCCACCCAGCGGAGGTAAGCCACAAGTCACGGCTCCAGTTCGCTCCCAAATCAGATTGGGTTGTCGCTGCCGGTGTCATATCATTTTGGCTGATGGTCTCTCAGTCCCATTGCCAATTCCCCCGTACTGTGGCCGGGAGTGACTCTTGTTCCTCGCGCGTATTCCTGGAGTGGTAAGTCATGTAATGCGCTTGAAGTGGCTTTACATTGCGGCTTCTGTGCCAGCCGCTTCTGTTTCAGTTTCGGCCTCGGCCTCGGATCTGTTGAGATCTCGAGTGGCTGTTAAGCACTTTCATTACACAGGCCCGAAAAGCGCAATGATTTATGCGAGTTATGAGGGGAGACAGCTCAGCTCAGCTCGAGTGTCGCTTTAAATACGTGGAGGAGCATGCGCATTGTTTGCCACCGTTGTTGGTAATGCCTTTGCCGCTGTCACCTCCTTTGTTTGCTGCAACTCGACTGGCAAATAAATGCGCGGTCTAGACAGTCACGCACAATGGCAGTTTTAATTTTAAGAGTGCAACCGGAAAAGAGCGAGGCACAGGACAGCGGGGCAGGAAGATGGGGAAGATGAGTCCTTAAAGGGGACTCTTATTTCAGAGATGAGTTTCTGTGGAAAAAGTTGGCTTAAATGTGAATTTAAGTTGATTCGAAGCCAGATGTGGATTTAAATAAAATAAAACACATTTAAAACTAATTCAAACAATGCTTAAAATAATTTAAAATACATTTTAAAAACCTATTTCCTTCTACAAAATAATACAACTCTGTTGAGTCAGCTCATAGTCACGATAAAAATAATGATAAATCAAACAAATGGCTGTGCTTACCCCACTTTATCGCTCGCAGCTCAAAATAAACGCTCGTTTTCAGTTTCCCCGAGACTTAGTGCCAGAGATAGTGGCTGCAGCAAAGCCCGGTGAGTCAGGTATTTATAAGTTTTTAAGAGTGCTTGAAAACTGCATAAACATTCACTTAATACACTGAGATCAATTAAGTGTGTGCACTCCATTTAAATGTTGGATTTTTTTCCCCCAGGTGCTGAAGAGCTCTCACCTCTCCTCCTCTCTCTCTCTCGCTGGCACCAAAAGCAAAATGCGTAATAAGTTTTTTATGCAAATTTCCCAGGGAAAACTTTTCCCACGTCAACACTTTATTCCATTGTAAATTATTTGCATTAATTTATTTTTAGTTTGCATTTCTCTCTGCCCTGCAAAATGATATTATATAAATTTTATATATATTTATTTATATTTTTTTTGAAGCGCCATTTTGGAGAACATTAAAAATGTGTAACATGTAGCTGCTGAGTTCTTGTTGTTTGCCGAACACACGGCAACGTTTTTTGTTATGTTCTCTAAATGTTAATTCAATGCAACATTTTCGTGTTGCTCGGCATTTGCTGCCATGTTTTAAAATGAATACAAAAAGCTAAAAGCTAAAGGAGAGCGAGGTGGCACACCCGCTGCGCCATATGTGTGTGTGCGGAGGGAAAACTCAGCTGGAGGGCCTTGATTTCTGTGACAATATTTGTGCGGTCTAATGGCAAAATGGCATTTGAATTTTAGTCCAATGCTTATTGAGATTTAATCTGATTGTAAATGTGATTTACATTTTTCAAGGGGGCGACAGCAGAATTTGCATTTCAAAGCAACGGAAATGCCGGCTAAATCGGAAAGGCGCGCTCTCGCTCGCTCGCCGGGCGTTGGACGGAAGTTTTTATGCGAGGACTCATGGAATTTATTAACGCTTTCATTGCACGCCGGGGAATATAGCCGGGGATAAAGGCCAAGAGGAGGCTGCATGCTGTAACATTTCCTTTGTGTGTCGTAGATTTACTGGTTCGCCCCGGGTTTTTCCAGTTGATTTTACAGCGCTTGGATATTACGTTTTAGTGCTACGCGCGCGCTCTGCCTTTGTTACCGCTTAGAAGTGCCTCAAAGTTGGCCGGAATGCGAGCTTTAATCAAGTTAAATGGCGCGCAAGGGCAGGTGCTGCATTTAGTGGGGCTTTAGCAGCCCGGGCAGGCAGGCAGGCCACAACTGGCAGCCTGGTGGTCGGGGTCGACTAACAGCAATTAAAGTGCATTAACCACATGATGCGTTTTGCACTTAAATCCACACACACCCACGCTCAGTGCTTCTCCCACTCGTGGGTCACTGCATCTGTTGCAGTTGCAGTTGCCATTGCATTTTCACTTGCAACAGTTGCACTTGCCGCGCTTGAACCTGAACAGGCACACGCACACGCATCCACATCCGCTTCCGTTTCCGGCGGCAGCCAAGCCACGAACAGGAAGCGAGTGTTGCCGCTTTTGTTGCTACGAAGGACACTGCGGGAAAATTTGCATAAAGTCAAGGACATGTCACTAAATTGAAGGATAAATCTAATATATAAAATAAGATTATAAATATCCTATTTTTAATTTCCCTTAGCCCTCATACTTCCCTTTTCTCAGTGTAATTCCCACAAAGTACTAGCTGGAGTGGGAGTCCGGAAAAAGCACCTGACCAGCGGGCGGATGGCGGCAACATGTGCATCCTAATAAAAACTAATTAGGACTCTCCATCCACATTTACAGCAGCTCCCCCCCTTACTGTTATGTATCCCAGCATTGGTGGTCAGCAAACTGTTGCTGCTGACTGTCGCCTGACATCAAAAGTTCTATTTTAGTTTATGTTGCTGCGAGTGCTACCCTTTCCACCACAGGCCGGAATACATTCCGGGCCCCGGGGCTCTTTCCGAGTATGATTGTGACAGTCCATGGACGGGCTGTAGCCCCAAAAACCTCGATCCCCGGATACGCCAACGACCGACTGGAGGTTAAATGTTCCCTTGGCTGACACGAGGAATTTAATTTCGTTCCGGCAAAGACAAATACAAAGGCAGACGTCAAGTTATTAGCAATATAAACACACATGTGCCGACAGTTTACTTTCCATTTTCCATTTCCATTTCCCCGGAGTCCCTTCGAAATTTTCTGCGTGTGTGTGTTTGTGGAGCTCATTTAAAGGTCTCGAAAAGAGCAAGCGAAATCAAACAGCGAAAGAGTGTATATTAAATTGTAGGTAAAGCCAAAAAATTCTCAGAAAATCAGTAGCTGCCAGGAGGAATCAATTATTACCTGGCTAAAATAAAAACCTGTACTTAATTTAAGAGATTTTGAGTAGGTACGAAAATATAAACCACTAATGTTCAGATAGTAAACAAATTATAAAGTCTTAACTTGAAAAAATGTTTAAATTTCTTAGGAAATCTCTTTGACGTCACAAAAGTTTCTCAGGAATTTTGCAAACAAAGAAAGAGCGAGAGCTAGTGATTAGATTTCTATAATTTCTCAAGAATTTTGTGAATAAAAAAAAGAGCTGGCTAATGATTAGATT